GGGATGCAGGGCAGTGAGTGTGGTAAAGGCAAACACTCTTTGAGCGATGAGTCAAACACTCTGTACCCAAACAGGGACACAGCGCCGGGGCCCCGGGCCAGATGAGGAGCAGCTCCATCATCCCATTAACAGCATCTCAGATGTTGCTCTGAAAACACCTCCACTAGCTCCAGGATGTCCCAAACACACTTAGAAGCAAGAAAGTGTTGGTACCTTGGTCTTTAGATCGTAGCGTTCCTCCTTGTGCGTGCCGCTGTCCACTACGTGGACAATGTCGTTGATGGTGATGGAGGTCTCGGCGATGTTGGTGGCCAGGACGATCTTCCTGACGCCAGGTGGAGGCCGCTGGAAGATGTTTTGCTGGTCCATCATGGGGATGTTGGAGTGCACTGAGAAATAAAACCAGAGTCAGTCCTGCACTGCTGAGCTGCTTCGCAATACCAGGCCAAGGTGGGCAGAGATTCTCGGCCCTCTTGGTACCATCACCTCCCACCTCCAGAAATGGGGGACAGGGATGGGGACACTGCTTGTAATACTGATGGTCATTGTCAGCAGTTTCCTGCCAGACAGATCCCAGGAAAATAATCTTCCACACATCATTAGGGAAGACCTCATTTCAGTTGCTTCAACATACAGCTCAACATCAGCAGGAGCTCTGATCACCTCCTGTCCCAGGGAGGCTGGAGGCACCACCAGAATGTCCCTGTGCCCCAAGCACAAGTCCCGCTCCCTCCCTCAGTCCAGTTCTGCAGCTCTCCCTTTTCCAACGCCCTATGAGGGAGGAGAATGAGGCATTATCATTGTCATTTGGTTAAAAAATGGTTATCAGCAAGGGCCTGTAACTCTTCCATATCACATATTTGCCCTACTGCAGATCAGTGATGCGGAGAAATTCTCAGCTATTCTCAGAACAGCAGGGGAGCACAAGAACACTGAGTTTTCACAAAAGAGCACCTGCATTTATTAGCAATCAAGCTGCCTAAAATTGTGCTCCTTATTTGACATTTAACAGCAAGAACTGTTAAAAAACAAATAAAAAATAACCCCAAACAAACCAAGCCCCAGAATCCTACAGCCTTGCGGAGTATTTCTGGCTTTTGTTATAAATGTCCCTCCTGGGATACAGAACATTAAATTCCCTAATCAAAGCTGAGCTACAGGGTACATCTCCATCCCACAAAACCGGTCTTGAAGATCTTTTCTATGTAGGCTCAGCATGCGGCTCCAGCAATGCAGAGTTGAGCAGTTTCCTCCTCGCCTAATTCTGAATTGCTGGAGGCAAACTGGAAGCCAGTTTCTTTGATCACATACAGGTTTGGATGGCCTCTGCGAGGAGGAGTTATTTGTGCTTAACATGCACAATTACACAAGTACCTACATCAGAGCATAAGAGCTCGCTCTGTATCAGGGTGCAACTGCTGAAGGGGCTCATCGAGTCACTTGGGCTATCCCTTCTCCTAAATCCTTTGGGAAAAGGTCTGGCGCTGCCACCTCACCTGGTAAGACGAGGTACCGGCTGTTCTGAGATCCCAGCATCTCCAGCAGGCGCTGCTGCACTCCTTTGATTTCCTGCCAGCCAGGGAGGAAGCAGAGGATCCCACCTGGAACAGAGCAAGAGTTAAGAACAAGAAAACTAGAAATTCAAGCACTTTTCCCCAGCTAGAGACATAGAAACTGCTTCTGCTGCACAGACAGGATGCCCCAGGTCCACAGCAACCTTTAGCCCAAGAAACCCAAAGAAAAGCAGGGCCAGGGTCAGTGATGTCCCCTGCCAGCTGATGGCTAAGGAAACCTGCATCATCACAAACAAATGACAGATACCGCCATTGTGGGAAGTCAGACCCAGGAAAACGTTCATCTAGATTTCATACCTGCTTCTGGGAGCTTGTTAGGGCAAGGCTTTAAAGCCAGAAAGAAACCAGGCTACCTGCAGTTTGAGAGCGAATACCTACTAGTTTTGAAACACTTAAAACTCTTAGAAGTCAGAGAGTCCTACCTTCTCCACAAAAACAACACTTCCCAGGCAAAGATATTTAACAGGGATGGGTCTCCAACACAGAAAAACAACGAAATTGTGCAGCACAAGGCTGAAAATGCTGGAGCACAGAGGGGTCTTGCCCTTCGCCCCAGGAACAGCTGGATCTCAGGACACCAAGACTGAGACCCTGAGGACTCAGATGTTGTCTCAGCCAAAGACTCAGAATTAGCTCATGCCACGCTGCTCGAGACCACTCAGTTCAATGGAAATTCAAGGTGGCCTCGCAGAAGTCAGCTCAGCATCCTGTTTTCTCTGCAAAGGGTCTGGACTCTGCAGGGTTCACTTTTCCCCACCAGCAAAAGGAAAAGCAAGGGGGCATCCAGGAACCTACCTGGTTCTCCGTGGGCATCGATCTGGAGTACGAGGTCAGTGATGAGATCAAGGTCAAGGACACATTCATCGTCCGATTGCTGTGTAAGACAGGACGACACATGCAGATAAATGAGTGGCAATGAAGCAGACAGCAGAAAGGCACACAGCCTCCCAGAGCATCTTCTGGAGACAGCAAATGCCTGCACTTGGACAGGCTGCCCAGGACTAGGAGCCAGGAACCTCAGGAGCCTGGTTTTGGCTCCATCTGGAACCTGCCCTGGTCACAACTGCTGCCAGTTTCCTCTGCTGTGAAGTGAGAATACAGAGTCCCTTTCCTGTTCTCCAGACTTAGAAGCTAACTGAGATTTGTGTACCTCTACTGAACAGCACCTAACAAGTAACAAAAAATTAACATGAGATTTTTGGGGACAAAACTGTGCCATATGCAGTGGAGACTTCAAATCCACCAGGCACAGAGAAGCAGCTTTTGTGTATCTCGGTCATTTGGAACATATGTATCAGGACAGCTTAAAAAGCACAGGTAAAAAACGGGAGAAGTGGCTGATACACCAGATGGCTGCTCAGGCGTAGGGAGGGATCTCTAGAGGCTGGAGAAATGGGCTGACAGCTTCCAGTCCAGCAGGCTGGACGAGAAAAAGTCTAGAGGTCCCAGACAGCCTCAGCGATTCTGTGACTCCATGACCCACAAGTGAAGTTAAGATTACCCACAGCAGAGAGTGCATGTCTGGAGGGCATTTTCCAGAGGAAAATGCTTCTGCGAAAAGCAGCAATCAGGGAATTCAGTCATGCAGGACGCGAGCACTTAGGGAACAGGCTGCTGTAAGCCATAACCATCCTAGTCCTGGGCCAGGCTTGCACAGGGCATGCAAACATTCAAGTCTGCATATATATATATATATAAATACATACACAAGTACAATGAGCTGTTAGCTTACTCAAACATAAAACAAACTTCACATTAAAGAGGGAAAAATAACTTGGGCCCAAATCTGAAGTCATCTGTATCCATAATTTAATTAAAATACCCTGGGGTTCTACTGAGTTGATTGTACCTCATGAGGGTTGACGTGGAATTAAAGCTGAGCGCACGCTGTCCAACAACCACAGGAAAGAGGGACCAGTTCCAGGCCCAAACTCTCCCCACTGATACGCCAGACGTCAGCGCCTCATCCAAGGGAAACAGCTCAAGCATCACACTGCACTCTCACCTTGATCTCATAGTGCCGGTGTCGGTGCCGGCCCAGCTTGGCCAGGATCTCCTCCAGGTAGTACTCCTTCACCGGGTACATGAAGCCCGGCACCTTGACCACAGGGCAATCCCCAAAGTAATGCGAGAAGCGCTGATTGTCTCCCGTGGCGCTCATCAGAACCAGGCGCAGGTCAGGGTTGAGCTTAAAAAAAAAGCAGGAAATCGGTGTTGACGTCTCGCTCGTGGACCTCATCACCCACGACATGGCTGACGCCTTCCAGGCTGGGGTTCCCCTGCAGCTTCCGCAGCAGGATGCCGACGGTGCAGAAAAGCAGGGCTCCTCCCCTGGCAGGTGGTTTGCTCTCCAGTCGTACCTGGTAACCCACGTTCTTCCTCATGTTGGGACCCAGCTCTTGTGCCACACGCTGGGCGACCGAGATGGCGCTGATCCTCCTTGGCTGGGTGATGACGACGTTGCAGCGGGCGCCACGTCCCTCCAGGATGTAGTGTTCCAGCAGGAGCTGAGGGATCCTCGTGGTTTTCCCGCAGCCTGTGTCTCCTGCTATTACCACTACGGGGTTCTGCTCAATGGCTGACAGGATGGTGTCCTTGTGAGGATCTACTGGCAGCGGGGGGCTTTCCTGCCACGAGGATCCTCTCCTTTTCCAGAGGGCCAGGAGATTCTGGCTAAGGCGCACTTCCTCTGCTTCCAACATGGGTATGTATGTCTTCCCTGTGATTGCATCACTTATCGCACCAGATTCCTTGCTCAGGTTCATCATGTCATCAGCAATCCGGGGCCTGGATTCCCTGATGTCCACTGGATACTGGGAGAGATGGAGAAAGTTGGCAGGGACAAAGATTAGTACCAGTCCTAAGAAGGACAGAAAGAAACAAGTGCCTGGAACAGACTCAGCCAGGCTGGCTTTGCAGGGACCAAAGTCTCTTCAGATTTTAGGTAACTCAGCCACTCACATTCTGAATTGAGGTTATTTAAAGTGAGAATTGACTTGGGCAGCTCCTCGCATTGTCCTCATTGCGTCCCCTATTTTAAAAGAGGCATTAGCGCTGATGCCTGAACCGAGAGGCACAGAACAGTAACTTAAGCTCTCCAAGCCAGTGGCTACACTGCACGCAAGTGATGCAAGGGCCCCTCAAAAGACAACTTTTGGAAACTATCAAGTTACACCACCAGCCTTCTCTCCCTCAGGAAGCCCAGACACGTAACTGGCACAAAACGTAAGGGTTCAGCTAAGCCAGAAATATTCCATCTTGGCAACAGAAAAAACAGAAGGCTCACATCCCACAGGAAGAACTAAAAGGAGCAACAATAGGTCAGGAATTGTCTAGAACACAAATCAAAGTATTGGACCAGATGTTCACAGGATTAAAAGTTCAAATCAGTACTGCTGGATTCAGCCTTATTCAGAGTTGTAAACCCAAGCCTTCCACACACAGTGTGACAGCTCATGGTCACGGAAACATGGGATGCAGACCAAGCTCCTTCACGATGCTGCTGCTTTTCTAACTTTTCTAGCCCTTTGTCCAGCCACTTACAGCAGGTCATTCAGAAGCAGCTGCTGTCTTAGGCGCAGTCATGGCTTTGGGCATTATTCTCAATGACTTCAACAAGCTACACACGTTTGCACCCAAGCTCTGCTCAGCCTCACCTTACCTTAGCGCTAACTCCTGCTTTGACAGTGGATGCTCCTGGAGAACCCTGTCTCGGCCCTGCTGCAGCTCCCGCGGGTGTCTGCTCACCAGTGGTCCACCAGGAAGAGGGATCTCATGGGTGAAAGCACCAGCAGGTGCCTGGGGACCTGCACCCACCACTAACGTGCCATACTGGGAGAGACACTCCCAGGGGAAATGTGCAAGTACCGGCATCTGGTCCTTATCAAGCTACAAGGCACAACCAGAGCTTAACGGAACCAATGGTGCACAAGGCAGCATTCACAAGCCTACAAAGGAGGCTATAAGCAAACCAAAAGTGCACTACTTAACATCCCAAAAGCCAAATAATGCAGACAAATGCATACAGAGAAGGCCCACTGCCCAGAAAGGGTCTCCCTTCCCCAAAGGTCAGCAAAGCCTGGTCAGTTTTTGCAGGAAACTATCAAGCCATGAATTCCCTCAACATTTTGACATGAAGCTTTCAACCCACGTTCCACTCCTGAAGTGAAATGGGATCAGCCACAGAGGATTCTCAGACAGCTGAGCAAGCCTTACATGATTCAGATAGTTCTCAATCTTCCGCAGGGTTGCTTCGGGGACTTTGATGTGGCAGGGCTTCCTCTGGTTCTCACCGAGCTCCCGGAGTGAAGTCATGTTGTACATCGCATGGCTGAGGGGGTTGTTGTTCTTGTCCACCAAGCCAAGGCTCTGCGAAGGAAGAGGCAAACACCACTATCAGACACAAGGCTGCTGCACACGAAGTGCTGCTGTGTAGAGCACATGGGTCCTACATGTTCAGTCAGGATAACTCCTCACCCCATATCCCAAACCCATCACTTCCTCCTTTTGCCACAGCAAGAAAAAAGACACAATCTCATCTTAACTCTGGTGAGAAAACACACTGGAGCCAACTGCTACCTGCCCCCAACACAGTGTGTACCAGAAGGTCTAAAAAAGCCCCACTGAACAGCAGCCACAACTGTATCTGACAAAAGCTTCTTGCCAGGGTTGTTAACTCTCTTGCTCTGGTTCTGCTATGTTGCACCAATTCAATGCTAAATCCTACACTATTCTCTTGGACTTCCCCTCTGCTGACTCTAGAGTGAAACTATTGCAGCAATGTGTCTGGATTAGTCCACCTACAAAAACGAGAAGATAGTCTGTCTCAGTAGACAGCAAGGTGGCCAAGAAGGCAAGCTAACATTTCCAGGGTGATCCCTACACATCACTTTTTGCTGAAGGCTCAAAACAAGCACAACCAGGTCAGACACCAGATGGATGTAACAGCAGTTTGGACTGAATCCTAAGGCTTGGAAATAAATGTTTATTAAGCATGAAGTCAAAGATCAGGAAGTTTCAGGCATTGGGCTCAAATACGCCAAGTAGGTGCAAAGAGCCTCTATTCATAGACATATTAGACGTGGGATGTAGGAGCCATGTGCGCTTACCTTAAGCTTCTGACAGGCCAGTGCCGCTGCTTTGTTTTCTGCCTCCACCTTGCGACGACCCTTGGCAGCAAAAGTCATCGGACAAGGCCAGCGGAGCGAGAGCTTGCAGATCTTGGTCTTGGTGCCTACTGTACGGAACTGCATGTACTCCTGAGACACACAAACATGAGATTTGGTGAGGTATTAGGAGTCTACGTAACTGGGATGCATTTTCAGATACACCTCAATATTTCTAAGCAGAGCTTAAATTTTTTTTTGTGGTTTTTTTTTTTTTTAAACAGTGTACTAGAACAGGTTTACTGCGCTGAACTCCACGCCCCCCGCAGCTCACAAGGCACTAGCTAAGCAGAAGTGAGAGCAGACAGCTGTGTGGAGAACATCACTGAAAGCCTATGGGGTGGAGCACAGCTACTGTCTGCTAAGCAGATGAGGTCTGGAAAGGAGGCGGGTGACACATACCAAGGAGGAGGATCACAGGATACTGGCAAGAATTGAGTTGTGGAAAGATTCCGTCAGCACAAAAATTATACATTGCTCCGAGTAACACAAACTTGTGTTTGTTGCAGATATATGGGAATATGCAAACCTGTCACCTTAGAAAATATTCTCCTTCATTCAGACAGCAGCTCCTCTATTGCCCTGGCCTCAAGTAACAATATTTCTCATGCTTCTATTACGACATTTCCTCAACTCTCACCACAAAGTCTTTTTCTCACTCTTCAGGCTGATTTTTCCAGGCCTAGCTTTAACCTCCCTTCTCTCCCCACTTCTCAGCTGCCCCAAAAAAGCATCCAGAGTGCTTCCAGTTGACTTTTTGAGCTTCATCCAGCACCTTACCTTGACTGTGGAGGAAGAGGTCGCAATCTGAATCACTTGGGCCAGAAGATTTTTGGGAAGTGGGAACTGCGTCAGGGCACGGATGGCGGTGTTGTCGTCCGTCATTTCAATGGAACTCCCTCCTCGGCTAGATGGAAGAGAACAGTTTGATACACAAATATCCACACTGTGCCCAGACCCACCTCACTTCAGGTCTGCTACTGAGCTCTGAAACTGAGCAGTTAAAGGCACGGGTAATTTTGGTCATCTGAAAAGTGAACCTGTACCTTGCTACTAACATCTGTCAGTTATGGAACAATCACCCAGCCCAGTAAAGCCACCTATTAAAAAGCAATCAAACCTTTACACTAGCACCACAGACTAGATAGCACCAACAGATTTTAACAGATTTAATAAATAAATAATTCTGAATCCAAAGAGCATTGCTAAAGACAAACACCACCAGGTCCTTGTGGATGTTACTCCTGTTGACTAGAAAAATTCAAGATTCGTGCTCATAAAGTCAAGCAAGCAACTATGGTGATGAAAAGGAGATTTAATTTTGCCCTCAAAACCGAAGGGATCAAAAAAGGACTAAGTGCACATGCACCATTTCTGGGAACAGAAATCTCTTCAGGCACAGAAGAATAAGAAAGGTAGGTAGAAAAATCTTCTTTATTTTCCCAGATTAGCAGCTATCAGGGCAAACATACCTTGGATCTCTGCCTGAGGTTCGAGCGTCCTGATGTGCCATAGGTAGATAATCAGAAACATCAATTGCTTCTTCTTCCAGCTCTCCTTCCTCCAGTTCCCCTTCCTCTAGCTCCCCTTCCTCCAGCTCTTCTCTCCTCATGGCTTTAGGCATCCTGCCCTGTTCCATGGGCTGGATGGAATCGTCCGGCTCCATCCGTCGCCAGCAGGTTGACAAGTCTGCGAGAGAAGGTCCGGACTTGGAGCGCCACTTGCCCTCCGTGCACCACCTCTCGTCGGGACAGCCAAGCTGGTCAGCGAGAAGCCTGTACTTTGCAGCATCAAAGAGCTCATTTCTGGGCCCCAGCAAACCCCAGCCCTACAAGAGAAAAATGCATTGTCAGCTGCAGTAAAGAGACAGATGGGTAACTCTGCAGGAAACCAAACCGCTCCTGGTAAAGGAGAGAGGTGCAGGAGCAATTTCTTCATATCCTCCAGAAAAGGAGAGAAAGAAAAGAGACTTTCAGAAAGATAAGGCTTTTCTCCTGCCATTATTTCTTAAGAAAGCGAATCTGTTCACTAAGCTCACTTCCCAGAGCACAACTGCTAAGCATCACATAGCTTGTTACAAAGGGTGGGCCAAGATTTATTGGTAGTTTGCAAATTATTAACTGTATTTAGCATTCTGAAGTTTAGAAACCCACCTCAGAGCCACGAAATGCATCTTTTTGGAAAGGCTAGTCTAAACAAGTATGATCTGGGATAGCACAAGATGAGGATTCAGGGAATGGTTTGTCTCCTTTCTTTCCACAAACAGTTATTTGTCTAAGCAGCAGTTAGACCTCCCTAACCCTAATTACTGCAGGCCTATGACCTCCATTTAGGACTGAACCTTACATGAAGCTCCAGACCCTGCTTTGACACTGTCCTGCATGACATCCATGTCTCTAAATTGGAGAGACAGGGATTTGATGGAAGGACCACTTGCTGGATAAGGAATTGGCTGGACGGCCGCACTCACAGAGTTGTGGCCAACAGCTCCATGTCCGAGTGGAGACCGGTGACAAGTGGTGTTCCGCAGGGGTCGGTACTGGGACCAGTGTGTTTAACATCTTTGTCGGAGACATGGACAGTGGGATGGAGCGCACCCTCAGCAGGTTTGCTGATGTCACCAAGCTGTGTCGTGTGGTGACATGCTGGAGGGAAGGGATGGCATCCAGAGGGACCTGGACAGGCTGGAGAGGTGGGACCGTGTGAACCTCGTGGAGTCCAACAAGGGCAAGGGCAAGGTCCTGCAGGTGGGTGGGGGCAACCCCAGCACAGACACAGGCTGGGAGGAGAATGGATGGAGAGCAGCCCCGAGGAGAAGGACTTGGGGGTGCTGGGGGATGAAAAGCTGGGTGTGACCTGGCAATGTGTGCTGGCAGCCCAGAAACCAACTGTGTCCTGGGCTTAATTTAACAACTAGATAGTTATTTCTTAATGTAGCTTTCTTGATCAAAAAGCTCTCATTGTCAGAGCACCTGCAGCATCTTTTCTAGGCTCCTTAGCAAGATGATATCATTGTTGCTACTCCATAGATGAAAGGGAAACTCCAAAAGCAAACGCACTTGCTCAAGATTACAGACAACCGGCAGTGGCAGAGCTAAAGACAGAACTGCGTCTTATTCTCAGGTAGCTGCTATGTAACACCGTATCTTAAACTGTGACCTTTGTAACTTCACTGTACTTCTCCGATAGTGGCTGTGCACACATAGCAGCCATTTCCAGCCATAAATAAGCACCAGACTGGCATAATTTGAAAAGAGTAATCATAAAACAGAACAGGTAACTGACACCCTGGGGCTTACATGAAGAGGAAACGACCGCCTCTGAAGGCACGCTGCTTGCCAATACACACAGGCAGACTGACAGGAGCGTGAGTCAGTGAACAGTAACAGCAAATACGCTGGAGGGGAGTTCTACTTCTCACGGTAGATGCAGAGACTAAGACAAAAGCTGATTAATGTCCAGGACATAAAGAACAAAGACTAGAACGCAAAGAATTTAGTGAGTTCATGCCTGGCTGAAGTAAGTGGGCTTTTAAGCTCAAATGGATTCAGAGAGCTCAAACCTTCACGCTCTACCCCTGATTAACAGAGAGGCCAACTAAGAAAGTGAAGAGGCAAAGAGATAAAAGGCAGAAGTCACATCACCAAAATGGACGACGCCTGCACACCCAAGGGTGTGTTTCTTCAAGCTAAGGAGGATCACAAGCTCACCTTGAAGAGCTGACACGCTGCAGCTGCTGCCTGCCTCTCGGCATCGATCTTCTTGGTCCCATAGCCTTCCACTTCCACATTCTTAGGCCACTTTATATGCAGAGTGACTTTCTGAAAAGCAAAGATAACCAGTAAAGTCAGACAGCACAGAACAATCTCTCTTCCCCACCAGGACCATAGCTACTCCAAACATCTCAGAACTCCAGGCAAAGAAGGGAACTACCAATGGAAATCCCAAACAAACTCCTCGTTCAGTCCCTTTATGGGAATCTCCATCCCAGCAACTTAGAAAGAAAAGCCTGGAAAAAGGATGAGGTGCCCACAGTCACGGTTGAGCCAGGCCCAGAAGCCAGGCTGACTTCCAGCCCAGTGCCATGTACTCTGGTCCAGAGCTCCCCAGGCTGCAGTGTGTCAGCTCAGAGGAGTCAGATGCCAAAAGCTCATTACAAGAACAATTCTGGTTCAGAGGAACTGTTCCTATGTACACTGCAGCGTACCAGACCATGCCTGAGAACCAATATGCACTCTCCAATGCATTTCCAGTTGCAATGGCAAGCAATCTTCCTAACTGCAATTTTAGCTAGCAGCATAGCACTTCGCAGTTCCACAGGCAGCGACCGGACTCATCAGGCACAAGAGAACCCAGCCTTCAGCGTGTGCTGCCCAACACAAGCTACTGGGAGAACTAACAGTACCACCAGAGCTCCTCTTAGACCAGTAGTTGGCTGAGAGCAGCTGAAAAACCTGCAGAGGCAAAGAACGCTGAACCCTGAACCCTGCCCTTTGTCAAAAATTGCTCCAAATCAAGAACTCGTCCTACTCCTGGCCCTGCAGATGAGTTTCTGCAAGGCTCAAAGGAGGGAAATGCCTGAAGAATTCTCTCCTGTTTCTGCAGCAGAGATGAAAGGTGGCATTTAGGTCTGCTGGGAAAACCCCACCTATAAGGCTAAAGAAAAGGCTCCTGACTTTTCAACAGCCTGCATCTGGCTACCTGCCTGCCATCTGAATCTCATCTTACTATAGGAAATTGCTACGTATTCTGCCTAGGGGCTCTGCATGAAAAGGCACAGACCTGCTGAGAACAAAAGTTGTCTCATGAAGGCCAAGTTACTTGGTGCTCACAAAAAAAACCTTGCTCACTTCCAACAGAGACTTCTCCAGATTGTCTCACCTGTCCTTCTCTCCCCACATACTTTTTCTGGGTTGTTGGGTTTTTTGTTTTGGTTTGGTTTTTTTGTGATCCAACTCTCATTTTCTCTCTGTTTCTCCAAGAGCTCCTTTATTGGTTTTTTCCATTTAGTTTTTTGGTTTCTTTTCTTTTAATCTGACGTTATCCTCAATGTTAATCTATTCAAGTGCTAGCAAGAATGTGAGCTGATTACATTAACTAAAATGATGAGGCATTGGTTATGGTACTCCAAAATTAAAGAAACTGCACTGCTGCTCGAGGAAAAGCAAGAAAAAAAAACACAAATAGTAAAGGAACTCTAATGTAACCATTACTAATGCGTTGCCTAAAATGCAGGGATGCTTGAAAAGGATGTGGTAATAAAAACTGTCTGGGAAATTTTAGACAGTATGTTATTGGAAAATGTTAATCCATCAGAACTGAATCTTTTCCTGGAATGTACATTACAGTTAAACTTCAGCTGGAAAGGGCTTTCTACTCTAGAATGAGCGCTGGCATGATAAAAGGAGGCAAACCCTTGAACACCGAGTACCCATCAGTTCAGAACTTCTGCTCAGTTTACAGCACAGATTTGGATCTCGGCCTCTCGCATCCCAGGAAGAGCTCAAACTACTTGGCAAGTGGTTTGCTTGGAATTCCTCCGCCTCATTTAACAAAAAAAAGAGTCTGTATTTCACTTTGCCCTTTAGTAGTATTAGAAGCCTCCCTCCGTTGCAAACAAATTCTTCTTTTCTGGTTGCAACTGAACATTTTAGGCTTGGGCACTTGTTCTGTTAGAATCTACAACAAAAACTAGGCCCACTCAGGTCTAAAATACAGCACATGCATTTTAATTTTCTAAGGTAGCAGGGTACATAGCCCAACGCATTTGAGCACAGACTATGTGTCGTTCTGCTGAGCAAAGCTGGCTACAGCAAGCTACTTAGAAGAAAAAAATCCATCCTTCCTCACACAAAAGGAGAGGGACAGGACCTACATCTACATATTTATTAAAATACATGAAAACAAAGAGAAAGAGTGAGAGAAAGTGAAAGAAAGAGAAAGTGAGAATATTTCTTGTTTGAAATCACGCAATTTTTATGCGTAATTAAAACACTTCTGTAATTTTCTCTATTACAGAGTTCCTTCCAGGATTAGCAATGTTTTTGGCTTGCTTCTCGCTCTGTGCACCATACCCACCTGCCACCCATCCCCAGCACAACAGGATTACCTTTTTCCTTGGCCCATTGGTATGGATGTACACCAGCTTGTCCCTCGCATGAGAAATGCCCAGGGCTCGTCCAATCACACTGTTGAGCAAGTTTTTAGGCTGTGGAAATTCCTTTAATAAGTCTCTGGAATCTAGAAAAGAAAAAAAAAGCAACTGAGGAACTAAATGTCTTATAATTCTTGTGCAGTCCTGTTCCAAGGCGTGTTGTAACACCTGCTTCGCTGCAGCTCTGCGAGCA